CTTTTGTATATAATTTATTAAAGGCCTAGCCAGCATGATAGCATCCTTTATTCATCACCTTCCTTAACTTTTGATTGGCAAATCTAATTTTGTCTTTTTGGAATTAATAGAAGCTTATATGAAAAGAAATTGTGTTAAAGGAAACCTAGATTGTCTCATGAACAGTTGAGATCTATTCTATCATCAGTCATCTAGCCCAAGCCACACCTCTCAGTGGACCTGATCCATACCTTTATCAAGAATTTTTGACTGGATGGAATGCGTTTTTGAATTTTTGCTTGCCTTGGATATAGGATAGAGAGGGGTGTGTGAGCATGTGTAGAAACTAACCCACTGTACTAAGTGCTCTGTCAAATTTGCCTTGGGCCCCACTACTGCTGGTATGTGGCCCGCAGAAGATTACCCAGAAGGAAATGTGATTTTTAAGCTGGAGAAGATTCCACACCCGTATCTTTTGTAGACCATTTTTATCTTGCCTTTCATCATCTAGTTAGATGTGCTCATTGTGGCTTATATCACTAAAAATAAAAGTGTAAAGTACGTTGGGTTGCATCCAAAGGTTTTCTTCCTTTGATGAAAGAACTCTTGACAGAAGGCGGGAACTTTTGAGATCCAACCCAATATAAGTAATAAACAATAATTAAAGCAATCAAGCTATAGAGGACCAGATAAAAGCTCTCTTTCAGTGCAAATGATTTCCTTTAAGAAGCAGGCTGTTCAAATGTCTGTAGCTATTGTTTTTGTAGTTCTATTATTTTTATTTTATTGCTTTGTTTTACTTCAGTATTTTTTTAAAAGGTAAATAAAATAAAAGCTTCCACCGATGGTGATGATGGAATCCTTGGCCAGACGGAGCCAAACATATCTCCCAGGGGAAAGTGTTCCACATGTTGGGCGGCCATGACAGAAAAGCCCCCCTAGCATGTTCCTGTCAACCTTACTTCACAAGCTGGTAGATAGCAGAAGGGCCTTCCCAGAAGATTTTAGCAACCAATCAGATTTGTTTTGGGAGGTGGTGGAGATAATCCTTTAGAACAGTGTTTCCCAAACTTGGGTCTCCTGCTGTTTTTAGCCTACAATTCCCATCATCCCTGACCACTGGTCCTGCTAGCTAGGGATGATGGGAATTGTAGTCCAAAAGCTGGAGACCCAAGTTTGGGAAACTCTTGGTGGCTTTCACAACGTTTACTTATAGCAAATAAACATTGGAAGTCTGCAAAAGTGGTTTCTGTTCCTTGTTTGATGAGTGTTTCCCTCCTACCAATGTTTGTTCTGTAGGGTTCTGAAATATATAAGCTCTTGTGGCCCCAGGATACATTTTTATTTTATTTACACACCCACAGCTCCTCTTCTTGTCCGAACCCATCAACTTCCTGAACCACTTCTCTATACTCCCTTTCCTATACAATCATCTTTTTCCTCTTAATTTTGTCACACCTCTAGATTTTGTTTACTGATTTCTCTTGCAATTTGTTGTGCACCAGAAAAAGACTCTTAAAAGCATTTAAATAAAATCCAGCCAAGTTGGAATTTTTTAAAATAGAAATTGTAAGAGGTGAAATGCTAAACAATTTTGCTTAGGAATTTTCGAATCTCCCATTAGAAAAATCAGTCACACAGTACGAAAATATTTTCTCCATACTTTGAAATATCTGGTCAGTTTTCTTGAAAAACTCTCCCTAAGATGGACCTTAAGCATATATATTGTCCCCCACACCCACTGGTGTTTGGCAGAGCTGTGTTAATGTTTCTCAAGTGGCCCTTATAAAGAAGAGCTCTAATTACCTTTAACTATCTACAGTATTCCAAAATGATCCTACATTAGATGTGAATAGTTTCAGGGTTTGTGTCCATTTGTGATGTGAACGTCTTCCTATTTTATTTTATTTTAGTTAAAAATACAAGTTTGAGATACATTCTGAAAACATTTGTAAAGTCTTCAGATTCTTGCAGGCCCTGGGTTTTTCAGTAGCAGCCACATCTTGTGAGACTATCCTTCTAAAGAACTTTTAAAATACAGAACATATAAATAAATATTTATGGATTATTTTCTTCAGAGTGACATGAGAAAAAAAGGTTATTGTATTTTTCGATTTCGAAACTGTTCAAAAAAATCTCTTGAGACTAATCCAGTCTGTATGGAAAACAAGGGAGGGCACTTCAGAGGATTTGTTGAAGTTGTGCTATTGTCAGCTTTTGAGATTTTAGAATGCTCTTTCAACAGGTCAAGATGACCTCATCTTTCCATGGCTGCTAATCCACAGTCTCCATTTTCATAGGGTTTTAGGGAAATTTTTCTTGGAATAATTAGCTGTAATTTGCATGCACTTAAAAAAAAAATGAACCAATTTTGTCACAGTGTTGCTGCGGCACCTTGTAAAATGTGTTTTCGTGTGTTGCTTATCAATATAAGCACCAGTTGCATCTACTGAAATGTTTTAAATGATCTTTTGGTAGTATTCCTAGAATAAACTGCACAATACCAGTCTTTGCAAACTGTGAAATTCTACATAGACACCAATAGGCGTTTCATTGATCCTGATGGGGTTTTGTAGTAGAAAGTCAGAAATGGTACTGGCATAGAGGATCTGTCAAAAAGAATTTGGCATACATGTTACTGTCATGAATGGTCTCACTGGAGACCATGCAAAGGAGGAAGAATGGCAATTTAAGGTGCAGCTGATATTATAGCATGAGAGCCAGTATTTCCCTCCCAATTGTCAGGTGCTTTTAAACAAATGCAGATGTTCTCATTTGCAGCTTGAGGAGGCTACAAAATCCTTGGCTCAAAAAGAATTATTACCCTTTATTGATACTGTGGAAGGAAGCACGTATTGGATTTTCTTCACAGTAGATATAATTATCCTGAGCTGTGTACAAACCTTTCTTCCTGTGGTTGATAGTGAAGCATATACCAAGCATAGTTTTGCAATAGCAGAGGATGTCTTTTTCCTGTTGTAATTAAGAAGTTATTTTTTCCTAGCTGGTACCATCTCTGTAGAAGTAACCAAAAGGTCTTGGTTCTCTTAAAAGAGCTCCAAATTAAAGGTATACATGGACTTACCAATAATAGAAGCATGCTAAGATTTCCCCAGAAGAGGAAGGTTATTTACTCAGTGGTTGTTTGACAACATGGTCTGAGAAAAATCTGAAAATGTTCTGACAGGCCACTTTTTCTTATCAGCTAATTAGTAAATGCTAGTTGAATGTCGGAAGGACCTTCAGATGTTGGGTGTCAAGAGTTCTCTTATAAAAACTGTAGTTATGATTTGATTCTCCTTGTAACAGATGCACATAACTGCTGCCCTCAGTAATTGTGTTTCATATCATCGTGGATCATTAACTCTTGCCACTTTTGGTAATCACCTTAAGCAATTACTCAACAGTGGAGCTTATTTGGGAGGTAAAAAGTCAATCACAGATTATTTTAACACATCAAACAACAAAAGGGTGCACAAGCACAGATTATCTTGTTTTCTCATGATAGATTTGTATGTTGGGAAATAACAGATCAGATGTTTCCCCAGTTGTAAATGAGAGATGGCTAAAGTAACAATGGTTTCAATAAATAGTAATAATTTATGTCACACCCCACTCCACTGTGGAATATTCACTTGGACTTGTCTTATAGATAAGATAGAGGTGATATTCATTGTTGTTGTTAAAAAGTGTATACCAGAATCAAACCAATACAGTGGTACCTTGGGTTAAGTACTTAATTAGTTCCGGAGGTCCATACTTAACCTGAAACTGTTCTTAACCTGAAGCACCACTTTAGCTAATGGGGCCTCCTGCTGCTGCCATGCCACCGGAGCACGATTTCTGTTCTCATCCTCAAGCAAAGTTCTTAACCTGAAGCACTATTTCTGGGTTAGCGGAGTCTGTAACCTGAAGCGTATGTAACCTGAAGCGTATGTAACCCGAGGTACCACTGTACCCTCAGAAACTTTTTAAAAGCCATCAAATGTTAATCAGCTGAATGCCTGGTTGAAGAGAACTGTTTTTGCCTGGCACCTAAAGATAATGAAGGTGCCAGGCGAGCCTCCCTAGGGTGGGCATCCCACAAACATGGAGTCACCGCAGAAAAAGCTCACTCCTGTGTTGCCATCCTCCGGACCTCTCGTGGAGGAGGCACACAAAGAAGGGCCTCAGATGATGATTGCTTGGTCTGGGTCAGTTAATATGGAGATAGGAGGTCCTTGAAGTACCGCATTCTTGAGCCGTTTCATGCTCTAGACAAAATCTGAGGGAAGGCAATCTGGAACGGAAGGCAAGAAAGAGCCTCTGGTAATAATGAACTTGCTTGCAGGCAGATGGTTAGTCATGTGTCCTGGGACCTGAGACAGATTCTGGGGCGGCCAACAACTGAGGTCTTCTATGCCCAATTGGGCCTATCAGAGCTCCACTCCTCAATTAAAGGTGCAAGTTATTTGAAGTAGCAGTGCCCTGGTAAAGATCAATACAGTAAGATGCCATTTAATCACCTTGTGAGTTTTTAAAACACATTTCAGAGGTTCAGAGCCTTCTAATAGCAATTTCATCCTCCAACTATTTGGTTACAATCATTTATATCCCATGTTTCAAGATAGAAATCATATCAAGGCAGTTTATAAATAAAATTCAAAAAAATCACAATGTTAGTATTAAAATAATTAAGTAGGAGAATCTTCCCACAAGATAGCTGGTAGTAGATGGTCCTCTGGAGATAGAAGCTCTAGCTGGAACGAACTGAAGTGGTCTTTGCCTGCCTCTGTCTCTCTCCTGGAGGAGGACACCTGAAGTTAACACCTTTTTGCGTTTGCATCACACAGCTGTCTCATGTTCAGTTTATGATCTTTCTGAGAATTTCGGAGGCCGAAACAATCTTGGAAGATTATTCTGCTTTTAAAAGAACAGTGTCTGAGGGTTGATTCTTGGAGGGCCCCAGATAGCTCATTATTGTCCTAGTGACTGGCAGTGCCTCTCCAGGATTTCAGATGGGGTTCTCTCCCAGCCATACCTGGAGATGCCAGGGGTTGAACCTAGGACTTACTGCATGCAGAGTAGGTGCTCCATCACTGAGCTACAGCTCTTCCACCTCCATGTAACCTATTCTCACAGGTAGGCATTGTTATAGACACAATGCTGATGTAGTCCACGTAGCACAAAATAAAAGTATGGGAGGGAAACCCCACAATGGGTTGTAGCCATTCCTTCAAGGTCAGGGTTCCTCTTCCTGTTTCCTTTCTGCATGCCACCAGAATCTGTTCCAGAGGGCCCACCAATCCCCTGGAGCAGATTTTGAGGGTGTGTGGCCCAGGGGACTTGCAGGATAGAGGAAAGGAGAGAAGAAGGTTCCATTGAGCAAGTGGAATGATAATATTGGATAAGACCCAGTGAGCAAGAAAGCATGCTGAGCAGAGAACCTACACAGCAAATGCCAGGCTTCCAAACATTCCAGATACAGTGGTACCTCTAGTTACAAACTTTATTCGTTCTGGAGGTCCATTCTTAATCTGAAACTGTTCATAACTAGAGGCGTGCTTTCGCTAATGGGGCCTCTTGCTGCTGCTGCTCCGCCAGCACACAATTTCTGTTCTCATCCTGGGACAAAGTTCTTAACTCGAGGTAACTCTTCCAGGTTAGCGGAGTTTGTAACCTGAGGCGTTTGTAACTCGAGGTACCACTGTATTGGCAGGAAATAGGATATTGATGCCTGGAAGTTCTAGCATTGAAGTAGCCCTTTACATACACCCACAAGACTGGGTTGCCTGTCTTACTAAGTGAACCTGAGAGTGGACATCCAAATATGTGCGCTAAATTGAAAAGCAGATTGGGACAATCCATTGCTCACCCCTGCCCTTCCTGTGCCCACATAAATCTAGTAGGGCTGTACTGAAATACTTTAAAACAAAAAGGTTTGGAATTTTGGGAAGATGGAAATAATACTGTGATATCCATGTTCATCATACTCAAGGTAGAATTAATTTCAATTAATTCATTTCAATCTGTCTACTGTGTGTATGATTAACACTGAATATCATCCTCTATGTTTGAATCTCTGCTGCTTTAACAGGGTTTTCTTTTAAAGCAAACAGTTAACAAATAAATAAATTTTAAACTTTTAACTATTGTGATTTTTTACAAAAACAAAAAAATCTCAACCTGTCATCTAAAATGATTTCCTACCAATTTATTTCTTATATAAGACAAATCTTCAGATATAAATACAGGAAGTATTCTTGGTTTTGGCAGTAGAAGCCCTGACTGCCCGGCAGTCAATAGTATAGTTTTCTCATTGCACAGATTTACATTAGTTTCCATATTATATGTATGGGACTGAGAGAAGGGTCACTCATCCATTGCAAAGAGGCCCTTTATACAAGTCTCGTATTCTTTTATTTCCGGGGGGTTGCTTGTTGCTATATAACAGAGTTCTACAGTATAAAAAAAAATTAGTGTGCTCCTCTGTTATGGGAAATAAAAAACCATGTTTTAAATTGAAGAAACGTCTAGCAGGCAGTTTCCCTCTTTTCACCATTTCAAATCTGCTTCTTGTTTTAATGGTGAATGCAATCTTTGTGATTAGCTTTGGAAGTATATGTAATACTTTCAGTACCTTAAAATCTACCCACTGAGATAATCATTCAGGTTTTTTCCTCCCGCCAGTGGCATTAGTCAGATTATTCTATGTATTCATCTGTATTTGGTATTCAAAGTATCCAAAATATAATTTCTATTCCCCACTCCCTGATGTTCACATAACAGTATGCCATGTGAGTAAATCCTTAAAATGGAAAAAGTAATCCAATTCTAAGGCTCACAACATTACCAAAGTAACTGATTCTAAGGATGAACAGAATACATTGCTTTGAATAGCCTTGAGAAATGGATTTTCGTAAACTTTTATCCACAGCAACTGGTTTCTTATATGTAGTATAAATGGTGTTATGGAAAATATAAAGTTCATTAATACACTGTGTATTTTTATCCCCTTTAATGTAATTTGGAGATTATACACCATAATAGGATTTATTACATTATACTGTTTAATCTTTAGGGTGCTGCAAACATACCAGAGGTAGTTGGCAGAAACTCCAGGTTGCCTGGTATCATATTAAAACATAAGGATGTAGTATTAGAACATAAGTAGCTCATTCATTTTACCTAACATTAAAGTTTAAACAAGATTCATTCTCTCTATTTTTAATGTATCCTGCTCTTCTGTCACTGATGGTGTACACTATTTTGTACTTCTCAGCGACACATACACACCCCTGGCCAATTCCCAATAGTTGATTCCTAATTGTCAACAATTCTCCCTATACACTGCAGCCCCCTGCCCCGTCTCTTGAAGGTTGGGGGATTCTCCAGAAAAAATATGTTATATTGTGCAGAGGGCTGCAGTAGACTAGGGAAATTAGCAAAAATCATGTACTTGCTTTGCATAAGCAGAAGTGCTTTCACTTGCTCAATACCACCATTGGATACAACCCATAATCTGTAGAATTCTTATTTTCCCTTCTTCTGTTCTCTATGAGTTTTTTTGTTTCAGTGGTAATCTGTGGTTGTAATTCATGGGTTCTGTTGGTGTTACTATATATATTTCTTGGTGTCCGTTCTTATTTTACAAATATCTCCCACTCCCAATGGCAAGCATGATGTCTTTTGAGAAATGTATTGATTGTGGTGATAAAAAACAAAACTGGGCTCATGGTTCTTGCCTGCCTTGTATAAATAACCTTGTATGATGTTTTCAAGCAGTCTTATGGAAGAAGATCTCTTCAAGTCATCAGTGAGTTTAGCCCATCCATCCTGTCTGTCTTCAGCACCCCAGGACAGTGTTTCTTTGTTTTTCCAGACCTCTGTATCTGGCGCTTAATTGTACTTGGCTTCACTGTTGGATGTGTTTTAAGAATATGTCCCAAACCTCTAAACCTTTCAGACCTACATTTCAAATTGATGTCCCTTGAGTTCTCCCAGGGCTTACTTTGTAACAGGCCATAATCAAACCCTTATCCTTTGCTTTTGGTTCAGGAGCTCTGAAGTTTGTTTTTCAGACTGGTTTTTGCCAAGGATTGGCCAACTAGTACTTAGTCTTCCTTAACTGGACCCAGACATGATGCTGTTTCCCATTTGCCTCCACCCTTCTCACAGCTGCTGAATACTGCACCTCCTAAAAAGTAGAAAGTCCCTCACTTTACTGCTGTCTATTTTTTCAGAGCTCTCAAGACACTTGCCTGACTGTTTGTACCATGATTCCAACAGCATGTTCACGGGGAAAATAATTGATTAATACCAACTTCAATTAGTGTTTTAATGGCTTCCAGCGTATCTCTACTGGCTGTCATCAGCATCATCAGTTTCAGTTTTCTTTCACGTCTCTCCTCTCCAAACCTCATCCAAGGACACTCAATAGCAGTTATCTTCCATGTACTTATTCCGATTTGTTCCCCACTTTCCTGCTTCAATAGCTCAAGACACCTTTGTCCCTTATTTCTGAGTCCCCCTCCTCTGGTGCCTGCCTTCTCTGTTTGCTTCCACATTTTCTTTCCTGTTGGAAATAGATCCATTTAGGTCTTACTAATTTGTTTAGCATGGCTATGCCATATATTTCTGTTGGGCGAGTATATAGCTTCCAGGACTTCCAGTTTTGCACACCAGAATCCTCCCAACTCCTCCAGAAGAGGATTGTCTAACTGATACCTCGTTGGAATTGAGTCAACTGTTCTGCTATATGGGCTATATGAATACTTGCTTGTTCATAAGTTCCTTGCGTTGTCCTTTAGTGACAATTCTGATAATTCTTAAGAAACAATATATTGCCCATCTCTCCAGAGTTTTGGATACATATTTTCATATTGACATTTTGGAGAGACTTGGCTGCCACTTTTGAATACAGAGTCTTTCAGGTTGGACTGTGCAGGGCTCCTTCAGTGGCTTTCAGATGTATGACCATTGTTTCTACAAACTTCCATCTTACAGGATTTGGGATGTTTCCTTATGTGGGTGATCAACTCCTAGTTGATGTTATTGAGATTTGTGTCCATTCTCTGCTAACTTAATGCTACTTGACTACTCCATGTATTGAATACTTCCAGCTAAGTACATGTGTAGCAGACATTAGCTTCTTGAAGCTTCAGACACCCAGCAGCTATTTCAGGTCTGGAAAGGAACTAAGACAGGTGTATGTCCAAGTAGGGGTTATAGAATATCATCCATCTCAGTGGACAACAATCCTTTGAGGTGTTGAAAGGCTAAAAGAAGCCTGTTGCATCCCAGAGCCTTCCCATCCAACTTGCTCCATCATAGTTGTCTCCCCCCACCCAATTTGATATTCAAATACAGTCATACCTCATGTTGCGTCCGCTTCAGGTTGTGTGTTTTTGTCTTGCGTCCTGCAGCAACCCAGAAGTACTGGAACAGGTTACTTCCTGGTTTCGTGGCGTGTGCAGAAGCGCTAAATTGCGCCGCGTGCACAGACGCAGCACTTCTGGATGCGAACGCTTCGAGTTGTGGACGTGCTTCCGGGACGGATTACGTCCACACCTTGAGGTTCCATATAAGTAGAAAGATGTCCAGGTTGCAGATAATGAATTACTTATATTAAGTTTCTCTGGAGAATATGTTGGATATTGTGTGAAACGGGGAGGTGGAAATGAAGAAAAACCTAAGTGGTGGCAAAATTGATGTTTTAGAGGAAAAAGTTAACCAGTCTTATACAAATATCATAAATGAGGCTTACCAATAATAAAACAATACCTAAACACCACTAGAATGGTCAAAATGTCTACAGTAGGATTTTAAAAGCCATGGCCAAACAATAAAAGTCAATTTGGAAACAGCAATATTCTGAGAACACCTGCTGAAATAATAGGGTGGTTTGTTTGTTGGTTGGTTTGTTTTACTGCTCTGCTGAAACTGAGCAGTTAATGGGCCAGGTGTACCTCTCAAGGAAGGCGTATCCATTTCTAAAGTGCAGCCAGAAAATGTCCCCTATTGTGTTAATTAACCAAGCTTTTAACAACAAGAGGATATGGAGAAAGGACTCAAAAGTAGAAAAATGGTCTTGGACAGGCTGATATGGGAT